AAGATTTGTCTATTGTAGAATCGTCGTAATCGAATAATAATAAATCCAGACGATTAAAAAAAAAATATATACGAAAAATACATTTCATAATTATATAACCGAGCTTAACTAAAATCAATAAAACTAACCAAAATTATAAAAACCGAACCGAAATACAATTTTGGTTACGAATTTTGTAACCCTTTAGTAAACCCGAAATCTCAATGAAATGAAAACATTTGAAAGCATTTTAATTCTTAAGAACTCGATTATCACTCTAAAGGTTTTGCACTTTCACTTGATTAAGATCAGTCTTAAGAAATCAATTGGGTTAAGGCTTTTCTATATAAAGCCGAGAAAGCTAAAAAGGAAAGAAAAAAAAATACAAAGAAGGGTTGGTTTCTCTAGTTTTATTGTGCAATGTCTATTCTACGATAACGGATGCATCTACTGTACAACATAACTCTGAATTCACTGAAATCAGATTCTAATGTACACATATATGGTGGTGCTTGTAATGTGGTAAGGTAACTTCTCAGCTACCTGTAGATTTAGTAGCAGTGGAATTTTCCGGTGTTGGACTCGATGGAGTCTGTGGCTGCTCCAAGTTTGTTGTTGTGTTGCTCGGTCCTGCATTATTTTGATCAAATGAAACCATCGAGTTCCAGTCCGGTCCAGCTAATGGTAAAGAAAGTCATGGAGTTCCAAAGAGATTTTGAATATTTGGGGAGGAATAAAACTCAAAAACAAAGCTCAAAGAACAGAGAAAGGATACATTCATTTGGCCACAAGTCTGTGATGCTGACTTCGCCCACCTCTGATCGAAGCCAGTAATCTACATCCATCTGTACATAATGTAACATACAGATAAAATCATGAATTAAGCTTTGGAAATTCGATATTTCCCCATCAAGATGAAAAGATAAGGGGCAATGCCGAACATAATAAATAGATATGTTGTTTTACGAAGTTTCCAGACTGTGATTATGTAATTCATAGCTGAAGAAGAAATTGGGACTTACATCTAGATCTGGAGGAACAATCTTCATAATACCATCAACAAAGTCCTGAGATTCAATGTCAGAGTAAACTCTTTGAGTATCATCAAGTTCCTGCATTTCTCTGTTTTTGTCCGTACTGTCCTCCTCCATCGGCATGGCTACATCTTGGTTCTCAGGGGGACCAGACGTTGATGGATGATTCGAAGGTTCATCCGCATGAGGAAGTTCCTCAAACCTCTCTTCGAATTGACTTTTTTATAAAATAAAACACAATATAAATGTTAGTCTCACTTCCATTTTACAAATTTTACATTGGCAAGCATAATGCTTGAGGGAAAGATTTACCTGACTAGATACACGTCTATTGGTCCCATCGTGCTTCTCAGAATTATTCTGTATCTCCGCTGAGGATAACCACCAGCCTGATTGATGGAAGGATAAAGAGATGGATTTAGTTACAGACAGAGAATCGCCAATTTGATTTTGTATGCTCTTAAAGCTTACCTCATCAGGATCTGGCACTTCAAGAGTTGTTCCATGTGGTGCTTTTACAGCTATCAGCGTCTTATTCTAATATAAACATGATAGACGCCTCAAAATCAGTTTTCCCAGTGAGTGGAATGCAAGCAATAGAGAAACACGTGACTAAAAGAAGGAGACCAAACCTGGAAGCATGGTAGGTTCTTAATGTCGTCTTCAGTAACAAACAGAAACCTAAAAATTGGAGAGTCAGAACAAACCGAGGTTTTTTCAGGAGAAATAGAAGGAGAAGCTTACCTTTTATTGTTTTCATCCTCGCTCAAGGTTGTTAATCTTTCTTGCGATTCTCTGCAACCAGATCGATTCTCAATGAGATACAAAGTAAACAGAAACGACAAGGAAAATGGTCTGCAAGAATACCTGATTTCGTCATCCAATTTTGCCTCCTCAGCTGCGAGGTTTTGTATTTCATCCTGCACGAGGATCGAGGGATAACTATATCTCAAACTACGACTGGTGATGGGAATTTGAAAAACCCGAATACTTTTCCAAACAGACAACCAAAACAAGAAATAAATGCAAGTGACTGAGATAAAAGAAAAATTGCAGTAACCAATTATTCACTTATTCAACATCTATGTAAGTATACTACATAAGAAACATAAACCAGAAGCCCATCATTCATATGTGCTAATTGGGGTACAAGACAGAGCTTATGGTTACATGTCTTTGATGTTTGTGTTTAGGGTATTTTTTCTAGCATCCTAGTTACCTTCTAAAGCAGTTAGGTCTTGAAGAAAAGGTATAACAAGAACCATGCTAATGCAGATTCAGACGATGTTCAAGATGACGATGTATGTTAACATCTACCCACGTGAAAAGAATAATAAAACTGGTGAAAAAACTGAGCCAAGCATTTCATAGGTTACAGTGGAACATGTCATTGAAAGGTAGAGGAATACGTAGGCATGTTGAATACCTGTAGGTTAGCTATGTTTTCAACTGTTTCTCCTGGTTTCGAAACATCGAGCCCCCTGAGACAGACCAAAGAAAACTCAGAATATAATCACTCACACATGAGGGATCAAATAAAACTATAAAAGAAATCCAAGATTTGATAGTCAGACGACATGCTTACTTCCACTGAATCCTATTCTTGAGCGTCTTCTCTATCAATCCTATTCCTTCTAACACATTGGTTATGTCGTATATCCGTCTCTTTTGCACCTGGATCAAAAGGAACACGCGGTTGAGATTTGACGGAAAGTAATACATCAAGAAGGCAGCTAAGAGTTTGAATATGTTACCTCTAAAGTATCAGCTGCTTTATTTAGATCAAGAATACCATCCTCTGCTTGTTTGATCAAATTGATAAATTTCTTCGTTAAAAGACCTGAAGCAGATGTTAAATCATTAAAAAAAGGCTTATTATCCGAAAGTACTTTTCGTCAAACATTAGTTTGTGAAACAAGTTATTACCTAGCGAACTATCATATCGACAAGTACCAGCCTGTGCAAAGTTATTTCCAGGAGAACCTGCCAACACAAAATATCCTTCTCACTACATTGCAATAGTCCCATTTCTCCCTTTCATGTAATTTGTAGACAAATATTAGATGAAACCACTAAAAAAGGTTTATAGCTCAGATGAGCACATATGCAATATATATATATCACTGGCCTACTAACAGTAGCCTGTGTAGATAAAAAGGGAACACATTTTGACACAGAGCATTCAGGACAAACTCACCTGCATTAGAACCAGAAGCTTGCGTTCCAGATTTATTAGACTTCGCTGACCTAGGAGTTTTTTTCGCCTTCCCGCCTTTCCCTGGTAGAGGTGTTTGGAGAACACCGGTATTCAATTCGTCGGGCTCAGTTATTTGGTTTGCGAAATCTGTCTTATGCTTCAGCTGCCAACAAACGCACCGGAATTTGTACAGTTCAATACATCAAATTGGACAACATAAGCTTTAACAGATACATACATCACTAAATAAACACTGAATTAGTAGAAAACCTCCACGCCTGATATGTATAATCTTATCCTATCAGCATCAATCATACTGTCACTTAGCTGAATCTAAAAGCCAGGGCAAACCCTAACTTCCAAGGCCAACATAGCAGAATTCAGACAGTAAAAATTAGGTCAAGAGAAACAAGAAAGCCTAAATCTGCTCTAAATAGCAACAACTGTAGTAACACCACCAGAAAACCCTAAGTCCAGCAACTAAAGTACTCGAAAGACAATGCTAAATCCATATACTGCAAACGAAGCCAAATCAAGTAGACGAAACGCAATTAAACCTCCGGAAGCAGATCCCAACACAATTCTCATCGAAATTTCAGGCTAACGATATCAATCAAAACTCTAATTCAATCCACAAAATCAGAAACTTAAACAAAAATCAACAAGTAAATTCGACTTACAGCAGATTTAATAACAATCGTCTCAGGAACCTGATCAGAATCTCCGCCACCTCGAGTCTCCGCCGCGTCAAACCGGTGATACTCGCCGGGCGCAACTAACGGAGGTTTCATAGAAGACAGAGAAAGATGATGCTGTCGCTTAGAAGGTGGAGGAGGAGGAGGCTCTTGCTGAGATTCCGACATGGGAACGAATCTCGAAAAATTCACCCACCACCGAAAACCCCAAAAAAAAAAAAAAGAAACCGAAAATTCGGATCTCCGGCAACGAGAGATCCTAATAGGTCACCGGAGGTAGATCCGCCGGGGAAAATTAAGGAGATTCCGGGAAGAGAATGTGAGGAGATCGGCGAAACTAAAAAAAGCGGGAG